CACGGCTCTTTCAAGGGCTTTCAGAGAAAACCACAGAGAAGAAATCTCTGCTGAAGGACAGGGCTGGCCACATGGGAGCATTTCATTCATAGGGAGTGTTCAAAGCGCATGGCATCCTATTCGTAGCTCCCAGAAATTTCCTGGTTTAGAACAAGAAGAGTGTCCCTCTTCCTCAGCGATTTCAACATTAAGCACACACGACCTGAGGCTTTGGCAGTGAACTGCTGTTTCCCTTAGCAAACTAAGCTTTCCAACTCTGGAGATGTGAGATTACGGGGCTTTCGACTTTTTCGTGTTTAACTTTTTCTTCCTTTCAACTCTGGCCAGAAGGTGAGTGTGGAAGGGTCTATGTCAGCTGGTGCCCGGGCATCTGGAAACGAAGGAGCTCTCTAGACAGGACCAATATTAAGTAGAGGAAATGAGGGAGCAAGAGCAGAAAAGGCGGGGGAAATTGAACCTACAACAGCCCTGGGGGCCCAGCCCTCACCAACTCCTTTTCCAGCCCTGTGTGTGCTGCCCCATCCTTTTACCTTGGCAAAAGGAGAAATGAAGCTGGTAATGCAGACCAAACCAGCATCGGCAAACAGCTTGGCCACCTCGGCAATCCGGCGGATATTTTCTTCTCTGTCCCCGGGGGAGAATCCGAGGTTTTTGTTAAGGCCGTGTCGTACATTGTCCCCATCGAGGGAGTAGCACGGGATGGCGTGAGAGACCAGGTACTCTTCCAAAGCAAAACTGATTGTGGTTTTTCCAGCACCAGAGAGACCTGTTCATTATAATCATTTGACCTCAAATCAAAACCACTACAATCTAGGAAAAGCATAGTTTACTGCAGGTCAAAGTATTTGCATTTCTTCCCAACGTCGAAATAACCATCTGTCCCCTATTAGAATTACAGCATTTCAAAGCAAGTGGGGTTCATAAGTAGGGGGGTCTGGGGGGGTTGTACAAGGTTCTTGGTGGGTTCTATTTTGCCTGCAGCGTGTTTTAAAGATGAGAACATTGTGCATACAAATCCAGATTCTGGCTTCTCTTGGAAAAAAAAATCAGAAGATCTGGCGACCGTGTTCTCATGCCCCCTTCTGCCAGCGATCAGCTGGAGTGAGACAGGGCAGCCAGTCCTGGAGACTGGGAGGCCCACCTCTCCTACAGAGGCTGCTAAACAAACCACTTGACAACAGATCCCTTTGGCTTCAAGATTTTTCCAAAATGATTCTCAAAACATGAAGACAGTCATCCCGAGCTAGCCTATAGATGCGTTTTTGAGCTGCCCTACACGCTTCGGGGTCTGGAGCCTTTCCATGAGAACAGAGTTACCATGTGCCTTTTACCAGGGTTTCAAAGCGCATTGGCGGGGGACACACTGTATGATTTCTATCAGGGAAATCATGAGGAGAAAGGGAGCGCTCCAAAAATCTAGTTGTCCTAAAGACCTCTGGACCTGAAAAACAGCGCACTGTGCCAAGCCTTTGTCGGGGAGTACCCAGGCGTGGGAGAGGAAAAGTTGGGGTGAAGAAAAGAAGGTCAAGAGCTTAACATGTACAAGATGGCAGGAGGAAGGAGGGAAAAGACAAAAAAAGGTGAGAGACAAGCAGGGACGAAGGACAGAGGGGCTCCGGACCAGCTCAGTCAGTGGCGCACGCGACTCTTGATCCGGGGGTCATGAGCTCGAGGCCCACGTTGAGTGCAGAGGTGACTAAAAAACAAGCTTTAAAAAAACGACTTGGAAAGAAAGGTGATGTACAAAAGGCAAACAGTTTCCAGAGTGTTCGTTACGTTTTCAAGTCACACCCGTGGCCCTCACAGAGAATCACGAGAAGCAAGGGCTCCACGAGGGAAGGGCCGCCATCTTTGTAAATCATTGTTGAAGACACTATTACATTATTTGTGTGGCTCAGTTTCATTCGAACAGGGACCTAGGTGATAAATTCCTCTTAGAATTGTGTCCAGTGTAAGGCAGAAGAATCAGAACTCCTGAATCTCTGGCATGTTCTCTCACATTGGAAAATGAGGGAAATAATAGAAATTTCTTTCAGTTTGGCCTCAGGTCTCAAAACGAAGAGCTACAACACAGTAACTGGATTAAATTAGATTGTTGGCATATTTATTTTAATGCACTGAGGTCGCACGAATTACACGTCCCAAGAGCTTTATTTCCTATGGGCCAGGCACTATGCTGTCTACACATGCTTTATTTTATTTAGTCCTACCCCCATTCCCAGGGGCAGGTTCTATCCTTATGTCATTTGACAAATAAGAAAACTGAGGCTTAGCCAGCTTAGTTGGCTTGTCCAAAATCACACAGTTAATATAAGTGCAGCTGGGGGCTCACAACCAAGTCTCTGGATGTGAAGCATTTGTCTGTCTTGGTCGGCCTGCACAATAGCCTATCTCTGTAACATAAGATTACAGAATAAATTGGGAAAAGATTTTTTTTTTTTTTTTTATGAGTAAGAAAAGACAGGGGAAGTCCATCCCTTAGGGTCTTTCTCCTCTTCTACCAGTTACCTTTTGTTTTTAAGGCTGTCCCACATTATAGAAAGTGGACTCTGTGTTTGTCCCAATAGATATTGGACAAACCCATGAGTGCAAACACGTAACAAGAGGGAAGCTTCTGGAAGTCAGCTGTTTTATCTACTCCCACACGGCATGTCTCTTAGATGGAGTCGGGGGGGACATCCCGGCAGGATTCATGACAAGTGAACGTTGCCTTTTGGAATATAGCAAGCTCCTCGCCCGCCGTCTGTCCCCAGCCCACCAGCTGCAGAAAGGTGTTACACCACGGATGAATGAAACCAGGAGACCAAAGGCAAGTGCCTCAGGCACCAGGAAAAATTTTGAAGGAGGAGGAGGAGGCTGATGGAGACAGGGAACAGGAATGACTGAAGAGCAAGGGAAGGGGTAAGGCAGGTGCCTGCCTGCCACACTCTGCAGCATTCCCTTCAGGTTGGATTAATCAGCATTTGGGTTTTGGGTTTTGTTTTTTTTTTAAAGATATTTATTTATCTGAGAGAGAGAGAGAAAGAGAGCAATTAGGGACAGAAGGAGAGAGACAAGCAGACTCCGCACTGAGCGTGGAGCCCGATCTCACGACCACGAGATCATGACCTGAGCCGAAATCAAGAGTCAGTCACTTAACCCACTGAGCCACCCGGGCGCCCCAGTAAATCGGAATTTATGAGCACGCAGTAGCACTCAGCTGGTCTCAGAACCTGGGTAAACATCTTTGCATCAGTTTGAAATACCATGTCTATGGTATTTCCTTTTGAGTCTGGGCTACGCCGGACTTCTATCCCCAGGGATCAACTTCCTCTACCTTGTGCTCAGAGCCCAAGGGAACAGCCCCGGACTAATTTCTGTCCCGTCACTAAGTCTTAGCTGTGACATTCTGAGGCTATAAAAACACAGGAAAAGGGAGAGATGCACTTGGTCACCTCCGTGGGAGTGAATTATTTCTATTTACAAGGGGTAATCCTCAGCTAAGTGGAAATCACTGATTTTCCTTCCTGTGCAGATCCTTCTGTTTTCAGTTTTCTGTTTTTTTTTTTATATTAAGTGAAACAGTCCTCTACAATGTTAAAACGTCAGAAAACAATAAAGAATATCCCTAAACACCCAAAACCTTGTAGACAGCCAAACACCCGCTGTCGAGTTAGGAAGGGTCCATCATGACTGCCAATAAATGCGTTTAGGCACAGGCATGAGATGACGGGATCCCCTCAAGCTGAAGTGGGGGGGGGGGGGAGGCCATCATCAACTTGCCCCTTTCCTGCCAAAGAGGAGAGACGCAAGAACAAGGGAAGCCCCATGCCTCCATCCTAGGCCTGCTTCCCACTCATGGCAGCAGTAGGGGCGATGGCCAGGCTTTTTACCACTGCCTCATCCCAATGTTAAAACAAACACATCATGTGTTACGCTAAGCTCCTTAACATCGTAGGTCACACATCAATTTTCAAATAAAACAAAAAAAGGATCAACACGGCATACCAGTCAGCCACACCGTACAGCCTCGGAATCCACCCCTCGTGCCAACGACCTGCCCTCTCTTGTTCCTGGTCACGTGGTGGGCCTGATAGATGACATTGGTGGATTTCTGCTGGCTCTCCTACAAAACAAGACCAAGCCCAATACTGTGTGAATGAAATAATACGATAGGTATACCTAGGATAACACAATATGCATACATGTACTAATACAATAACTGTACATATAATACAATGTGTATACTATATATACATATATAATACGATATGAATACAATAAGTATATATACACATATGTATACAGAAATAATAAAATAAGAGGGCAGTAATAGTCATCCCTAACCGAAACCCCTCTTTTATGACTGGCACACAGAGTGACATTTATTAATTCTACTAAATCAGAAAAAGACACTGCCTTTAGAATACCCATCATGACCCTCTGAAAGTATAATCTGAATGAGACAATTATTGACACGATGTAAAAGTCTGGGTTCTGTGACATTTAAAAACGTGCACCTCTAGGTAATGGTTAAGGGAATGTCTTTGTCTCCAGAAGTGCATGTTCTCTACCAGATCCTATGGAAGTCGACGGGAAACGACCCAGCTCAGCCAGCCCCTGGGGAGGGGCTGGCTGAGCCCCACTCTGTTACAGAGCCAGGGAGAGGCACTGATCACAGGGCAAAGCGTTGAGTCAGGGGCACCATCTTGGTCCCACACAGACATGTTTTCCAAGCACAGTCCCTGAGCGAGGTACGGCACATGAGGCTACTTTTTCTCAAGCTCTACACTCTGTTTCCACTTTCCCAAGGGTCAGTGTGTGAACTTTTAATCTTTCAGAAAGCCCTGCAGAAATAGAAATGGGCCAGTTATTAGTCTTGGAGGCTAATGCAAATCTCAAATATCTTTATTTTGGCTGCAATAAAATCAGCCAGTAAGGGCAGAGATTATCTGATCCCGATCCTAAACTCTGGACGCTATGAATCTGATGAATAAAAATGGTAACACAAGCCAATAAGTACAGTTGCTGGTGGACATTTCTAAAATAGTATGTGATCCAAGGGCAGGGGGGCGGGGGGTGTGCAGAACCCATCATGGTGGTTAAATAAAAATGTTGGGAACAACTCCTATATGTCTTTGGGGTCGTAACTGAATTTCTGTTGACAGATGGAATCCAAGTCTCTGAACTGTAAAAATCTATGGAGCCTTTTAAACAACACACATGTAAATCCACCAGAGCTTTTTTAAAAAAAAAAAAAAAAAAGCACTGATATTCTTTGAGAGCAAGACCCAGAGAAAACTCTTTTCTCAGAGAAAAGCCACATGTGGACCATTTTATATTCTGGAGCAAATTAAATCACTTCTTTACGGCACCTCCTTTGGGGAAAAACAAACAAACAAACAAAAACACCAAAAAGGGGAATACAGCTAGGACTGTTTGGGGGCTAATAGGAGATAATGTGTGGGAACATACTCTGTAAACAGCCCAGTTCTCTTCCCAAACAGATGCTGACGATGACTAGTGAGTGTGTACACCCACAACACGAGAGGCTGGGAAAATGGCTTCGAGAGCAAGGTGAAGGAGCCCCTTGCTGGCCGTTGCGGGCGCAGGAAGGCGGCACCCACCAGGGGGCCCAGAGCCCAGCAGAGGCACAGCCCAGGCAGGAGACAGGCATTGCCAGGGTCCGACGGAGCCAAAAGGAAGGTGCTGAGGGCACAGGTGGGATCAGCTGGGTGAAGTTACATAAATCTTCTGAGGCTAGATGCACTGATCATCGTTCAGGCAAATGCGCTGATCATCCTTCCGTCAGAACCCAAGAAGCACTAGAAGCTTCATAATGAGGTCAAATTAGATGAGCTCAGGAGATATTCTAGCCGTATTTCCCCTGGCTGAACAAATCCCCTGAAGGGATCCCGAGTCCTTTGTGCAAAGTGTCATTTATAGCTCAAGGACAACAGTCACATTGCCTTTTTCTGTTTCCTTGTTAATCACTGCTTTTTAGTCAAGGAAATTATATCTGGATATCAGGCCCCAAAGTCAGGGCAACTGTTCATTCATGGGTTCTCTCAGCAAATGTTCACGTAAATGAGCCCCTACTACCTGCCAGGGCCATCCTAGGCACTGGGAATCTAGTGCTAAACAAAGAAGGATCCTCAGCATCACTTTGGGGGGAAATACAGGCAAAAAGATCAAGTAACTGGGGTCCCACGCCCTGTGGAGAGGGTCTCTTACACATACTTGTATACCATATGCAGATATATAAAGAATACCCACAACTCAACAATAAAATGAGTAAAAAATCTGAACAGTCACTTCACCAAGGAAGATACACAAATGGCCAGGAAGCACATGACGGGCTCCGTGTCGTTAGTCATAAGAGAATGCAAATTAAAACCCACGAGACGCCTTTGCTAAATCTAATGGCAACGAGGACATGCTGTCATGTTGACAGTGGAAGTATAAAGTGGGACAACCATCCCAGAGAGAAACCTGGCACGTTCTTCTAAAGCTAAACATTTACCTTCCCCGCAACTCAGCAATTGCATACATAGGCATTTACTCAAGAGAAAATATGTATCCACAAAAAGACGCGTCCAACTTTATCGGGACAAAAACTGTAAATAGCCAAGTAACCATCCACAGGAAAATAGATCACACACACACACACACACACACACACACACACACACACACCCCAACCACGTCGGAACAGCAGTTGTCCTGAAAGGGTCTGAGGTACACAGGTGTTGGAACTCACCAGATGTATACGTAGATGGGCATTTCGTTACATGTAAATTTTACCACACACCAAAAAAGAGCCATTAAAGAAAGGGGGGGGGGCGCCTGGGTGGCTCAGTCCTTAAGCATCTGCCTTCAGCTCAGGTCATGATCTCAGGGTCCTAGGGACTTGGGTCCACTCTCAGGCAGGTCTGGGCAGGTGGGGCTCAGGAGCACATCAGGCACCGGGCAGGACGGTCGGTACTTTGCCTGGGGTGAAGAGTTACGCACACGATATCCTTGCCACTGCTGCTCCAATTATTATTCTCTTTGACCCCAAAGTCCAGAGTGCTGATCGAGCCCCACATCGGGCTCCCTGCTTGGCAGGAAGCCTGCTTCTCCCTCTCCCACTCCCCCTGCTTGTGTTCCCTCTCTCGCTGTCTCTCTGTCAAATAAATAAATAAAATCTTCAAAAAAAAAAAAAAAAAGTAAGCAAACGAGAGAATATATACCAAGACTCACATGGTGGGATTCTCTTGTTCAACCCTGCTGCCTTTCCAAAAAAGGGCTCGGGTTCCAATCACAGCACACTTGACTTAAGGGGTGGCTGCCCACCTGGGCAACTGAACACCCACCAGAGCTTCATTTGTCCACAAAGATTTTTTTTTCCTCTCTTTTGGCTGTTTTTCCTTCCCTCCAGGCAGAGATCCAGAATAAACTCTAAACTTTGTTAATCTGTGGAAACTTTGTTAGGATCTTGTAAACTGCGTCCCCAACCAAGGGCTTGGTTTTCAAAAACTGTTCAGAATCCATGGGAAAGAACCACCACTATAGTGGTTAAGAGTTCACCTCTGAACTTTTTGGATTTTTATTAGCTGAATCTTCATCACGGGTGTTTGTACAGGATTTCTAACATTCCAGCAATGTTTAGACAAACAAAATCTTTTCAGATGGCCAGGTACTGGGCTTTTTGGTTCAGCAGAAAGTATTTTGCTTCTTTTTTTTTTTTTTTTTTTTAGATTTTATTTATTTATTTGACACAGGGCGGGGGTGGAGGGAGAGAGCAAGCACGAGCAGGGGGAATGGCAGGCAGGGGAGAAGCAGGCTCCCCGCAGAGCGGGGAGCCCGATGCAGGACTTGATCCCAGGACCCTGAGATCATGACCTGAGCCGAAGGCAGAGGCTTAACCGACTGAGCCACCCAGGCGCCCCAGTATTTTGCTTCTTATTTATCTTATATTTACCTTTGATTTTCTCCAAAGGCAAACAAAATAGAAGCAGCTGTTTTGAATGATTATTTGAACTGCAAAGAGGCGGGGCAGCCAAAAACTTTGCTTTGTTTTGCGTTGCTGAAACCTTTTACTCCCTTCTAAAGAGCATATGGTGTTCTAAGCATTGGAACGAGAGTGGCTGTCAGAATTCTATGGAAAACGAAACACATGTTAAAGAAAAAAAAAATGTTTGATTCCCTGTGTGTATAAACAGAACACACATCCTCAGCACCGTACCACCTCACACTGCCACTTGGCGGAAACCAGAGTTGGTGGCATACTTCTATTCTGGGTCTCTAAATAAAATTTGGCAAACATCCCTACCTTTTTCCAGGTCACTGACTCAGAAAAACTCCCTCCAGCATGCATAAGAGTAGCATGAGTATGGTTTTTGGAGTCAAGCAAACCTGGATTTGAAACCTGCCTTGTGGCCTTACTTGTCCCACGACCCTGGGCAAGTTAGTAACACCCCTGAGCCTCCAGGCCTGCTCTGTAAAATGGGGCCAAGTATAGTTTCCTCATACGGTGGCCAAAAGAACAAAATAAAATGGTCTTCTACATAAAGTATCAAAGCAAGTACAGAACACAAGTAAGATGGTGAGCCTTACGGGCCCTGGTGGCATTTAATCTAGTCCAGGGAAATCCTGGTCGTTTGTCTAAATCACCCACATCGAGAAGCGTCCTAGGGACTTGGGTCCGCTCTCAGGCAGGTCTGGGCAGGTGGGGCTCAGGAGCACATCAGGCACCGGGCAGGACGGTCGGTACTTTGCCTGGGGTGAAGAGTTACGCACACGATATCCTTGCCACTGCTGCTCCAATTATTATCGTCTTTGACCCCAAAGTCCAGCCAGTAAATACACCGTTCCGAGGTGTACTCACCAGTTAACCGGCTTGCAGCCTCCTTGCTGTACCCCAGACTCCCTGCTCCCGTGCTGGCCGTCTTGGTCATGAGCCCTCAGTTACCAGCACAGGATGGCCTTTGGCCCGGGTCAGCCTCACGCGCTACTGGGGGCGGGGGGGACCTTGTCACACAGCTCCCCCCCTCCCCAGGGTTGCAGGGCTACCCCTGCCAGGCCCACCCCCAGTCCCACTAGCGCTGCAGGAGGGGAGAGGGGTGCCCAAGGAGCTTCTGGAAC